CCCCAAAACCCCAAAACCCCAAAACCCCTTAGTGATCAATTTTAGCTAAAAAGGTGAAAGCTAAATAAAATTGAGCAAAGATAAATTAGAGTAATAAGAATTATTAAAAAGCAGAAAAAGAATTAATTTGAATTTTTAAAGTTAATAAAGTGAAGTTTTAATCTAAAAAATTATCTTATAGACATTAACAGATACTTCCTGACATATATGCCCTTCTAAGAATCAAATATACTTCTTCATAAATTTTACCATGAATATGATGTAGATATACATATAGAGCATACTTTTCTTATAGATCATTAGGCTTTCATTTATTGGGTCATATCTTAGTAATTGCTTGGCATTATTGACAACCTAACGAGAAATACTTCGAACATATATACTCTAGAATAAAAGAAATCCAAACAGGGAGATATTTATTGCTGATCTTGACGAGAATCTAATTGCAATACAGGTGCTTATTAAAGCATTAAAAATAAAAGCATTCTCTTCATCATTTATAAAAGATTCTTCATTTGCAGCATATTAGGCAACTAAATTAAGACTGATATTTATGAATCCACTAAGGTACATAGCCTCAAAAGGTAATAGAAAATATTTTTATCTAGAAGGATTCATAAATATAAGGCCTATTATTGCCATCGCTCCTCCCCAAAACAAATGTTTAAGGACTGGATTTGTGTGATAATTAGTAGTATCTTGTAGAAACATAAGTCCTCCCATACATAAAATTAGCTTCAAGATATGGTTGTGAATAGTCTATGAGCTTATGAAGGTACCTAATAATCAACCGACACCACTAATAGTAGCAAGTCCACCACTAAAATATATAAAAGTGTTTTTAATTCTATCCTTGACAATAGGATCAGATATAGTCATTTGCTAATCTTTAGGTAGTCTTCTGATTGACTATTTAGGAGGTCCTCCTGAAGTCTAAATGTGGTATGATATTCCTGCACTTCCACACCCAAGAAGAAACATATCTCCAAGATTTAGGTTTTTGATGACTTTATGGCTCAATAATTTTGATTAATTGTTCTGAATGAAGGCTTTTGAGGATTTAATTGCCTTATGTTTAAGTTCATATAATTTCCTTAGCATTTTTGAAGTAGATGTTAACAGAGATATTTTATTATAATTTTTAAAATCTTTGATCAATTATTACCTGTTGAAATCATTTAAATTATTCATGATGGGGTTTTGGGGTTTTGGGG